GGCCACTCCTAATATAAAATCTGTTTATTTTTGCCATAATTATAACTGAGGTGGGAATGTAAGATGAAGTGCCCAAATACAAAAGAGCCAGGAAAAGTGGACGTTGCTTACACCCAAGTTTGTAAAAATATTGTGAATGACTCTACCTTCAGTGGTGGAGACATAAACTGGTGAGGCCCTTGCTGGACACCATTTGACAGCATCCCTTAACATTTTCAGTGAAGTCCCCAGCACCTTGCAACACCACTGTGCATCTTCCTGAGGAAGTACAGTATACGTGTACAGAAAACAGAAAGGTACACCCTCCTGTAATGCCAGTTCTTAGAAGGCAGAGACAGGAGGATCAGCCTGGGCTACACAGTGAGACTAGATCTTAGTAAACAAACAAGAAAGAAAGAAAATAGACTTGGGACACAGCTCAGTGGTAGAGCACTTGCTTGGTGTGCACACAGTTCTGCATCTGAAAGGAAAAGCAGAAACATAAAGTAGAAACAGATGTCTTTTGGCTAGATAGGGTTGGGGAGGTTGTTCAGTGGGCAAAGCGCTTTTGTCACAAGCCTGACATCCTGACCTCAGATTACCAAAGCCTGCATAAAACCCAACAGAGTGGCTTACGCATCTATGATCTCAGCACCCACACAGGAAGAGGGAGGCAAAGAAGAGAATCCGCAGACGGTCATGGACCAGTTCATGGGCTACCTGTCTCAAACAAGGCAGAAGGTGAAAACCAATGCGTCAGGTTGTCCTCTGATGTCCACGTATGTGCCATGAAGTGCATGTGCCTCCCCACACAGGGAAAAGATGAGCAAAGGGGCTGGAGAGATGGCTCAGTGGTTAAGAGCATCTACTGTTCTTGCAGATGACCCAAGTTTGGGCCCAGAACCCAGGTAGAGAGGCTCACAACCACCTCTAACTCCAGTTCCAGTTCCAGGGAATCAGATGTCCTCTTCTGGCTTCTGGGGGAACCTGCACTTATGTCTACACACACACACACACACACACACACACACACACACACACAAACACAGAGAGAGAGAGAGAAAGAGAAAGAGAGACAGAGAGACAGAGACAGAGACAGACAGACAGAAAGAGACAGAGACAAAGTTTAAAATAGAACAAATCTTTAAAAAGGAGGGTTAGATTAAATGTGGTAGATTCATGCTCTTTGAAATCATCTGCTATAAATGATGGTATCAGTCTACACGTACTGAGATGGAAAGATTTCTAACTATTATAGAAAAAGACAGGGTCTCATGTAGCCCATGAACTTACTGGGTAATGGAAGAAGATCTTGAATGTTTGATCCTTCTGGTTCCATCTCCCAAATGCTGGGATTACAACCCTATAACCACATTGTCTAGAATAAGTTTTAGAGTGATACTGACAATGTAATATCTTTCATGGAAATGGTGTTGATGTAGGAAATAAAGCTGTCCGTTACTACACACCCATGAATGCCTAGGGAAAAACCTAGCTGTAACTGGTCCATCAGATGACGGTGATTCTGGGATGGGAACAGAATCGGGAGGTTGAGAGATTTTTACATAATTTATGTTGTCTGACTCTTTTGCAAGCAACTAATTTTGGGGATTATGTGTTTGATAAGGAGGCTGTTTAACAAGTATTTGACTTGAAGATAGAGCCGAGCTGACTGACTTATGATTCTGGATCATAGCTACAGCTCCTAAAAAGTGCATAGTGCAGGTCCTTCTCTCGTGGCTTATGTAAGGAGCCATGAAATGATTTGCAAGCAAATAACATTCTCAGATTCCTCAGGGGTGGCTACCGGGGTGTGTATACTGGTTTTCTTATCAACTTGACACAAATTTTAAGTGACGTAGGAAGAAGAAACCTTCACTGAAGAACCGTCTCCATCAGATTGGACTGTGGGTTTGTCTGTAGGGAGTCATCTAGGCTGATGATTGAACTAGGCTCAGCCCACAGTGGGTAGCACCATCCCTAGGCAAGTGGGGCTGGGTTGTATAAGGAAGCTGACTGGACACAAGCCAGAGAGAGCAAGCCCGTGAGTAACGTTCCTCCACAACCGCTGCCTCAGCTCCTGCTTCCGGGTTCCTGTCTTGAGTTCCTGTCCTGACTTCCTTCAGTGATGGACAGTTATTTGGAAGTTGCAGGCTGAAATAAACCCTTTTCTTCATGAATTGCTCTTTGTTGTGGTGTTTGGCGTGGCATCAGAATAGAGCTAGAACAGCGTGATACTCAGAGCGCTGACAGAAACTGTCATGACCAAAGAAGCTAAGCTGAGTGCCAGTACAGGGGAAGGGGGCTTGCGTTGTCCACCAGCAGAAAACTAAGTCCTTGGCTCTGAAGCAAGAAAAAGTATTTCCAAGATTTTTCAGCAAAATCTCTAGGGATCACACAGTATTTCCCAAAATCATTCCTAACAGGATCTTGCTCTAGGAGGGGAGGGGTTATATATTTTGCCCTGGAAGATGCTAAACTTGGATTTTGTACAGGTGCCCAGAGAACTTAGTACCTGAACAAACAGCCATTGATGGGACCTGCCATCTTCACCTTGGCCCCTCCTCTCTTTACCCACCCCCAACACACTCACACACTGTGTGCAGCACACACACACACTCACACACTGTGTGTGCAGCACACACACTCACACACACACACTCACACACTCAAACACTGTGGGCAGCACACACACACACACACGCTAGTGCCCTGGCCTTTGTCTAGCCTGTGGACATTTCACCAACAAGGGGCTCTCAGTCCTGGGAGAACACTTTCATGTCCGATGCACATTAAGTATGTCCACCAAATACTGTTTCCTTTTTTACCCCCCATTTCTTTCTGTTTTTGTTTCTCTCCTTTTTGTTTTTCTGCAAGATTGTCTGTATTAGGTAAAGAAAGTGGTTTGACAGGGTAAAGGAAGGGAGACTCTAACATGGTCTATGCCCGAGCTTCTGGGTGCATTTTTGTCTATTTATTTTTACATTTTATTTACTTACTGGGGAAGGGGGTGTGCAGGTGCTATGGTGTACTTGAGGAGGCCAGGACAACTGCAGGAGTCTGTTCTCTCCTCTGACTCTGTGGGATCTGAGCATTGAACTCAGGTTGTCCGGCTTAATGCCAAGCACACTTATCCACCGAGCCATCTTCCTGGTTGGTCCTGGATCACTTTTTGTATACATGTTGAGCATGCACAATTTTCCGTTTCCACACAAGAAAAGAATCACAGGAGGTCTGAGAGCATCAGGAGGTATTTATTTTGCAGATGGATATGATGAAAGGGATGTACATGAGAGGACACAGACAGAACTGAGTCTATACAGTGAGTCTTTGCACCCTGGAAAGGGATTTGCACTTGACCCAGGGGACAGCAGGTACTTACTGAGGGGTTCACATGCTGTAAGTGAAATGGCATGAAATACTCAGTAGGAAAATCATCTGGCTATGGTGAAGGTCCCATCACAGTTTTCCATCTCAGATCTTTAGAGGCAGACCCTGAGAGAGCCGCCAGGTGATGGCTATGTCTGGGTAAGTGATAACAATGTCTGGTTTCACCAATACAGGGCTGATGCAGGTGCCTTCCATGGTGAGGTTGGCACACAGAACTCTTAGACATACTCAGTGTTGCTCTGAGGTGGGTAGAGGCTTGGGAGTACAGTCTCCACTCAGTTTAAGAAGAGATCACTTTAACATTCTAAGGATCCATTCTGGATCTCCCCATTTGATAGGTTAACACAGATGCTCTAAACTTACAACAATGGGCACGGGCTTAACATTCCTGTCATGGCCAACTTCAAGTTACCTGTCAGCATGAAACCAGTAAACATGGTATTGGTAGGCAGGTGCACAGCTGACAAAGTCAATTTTAGCGCACCACAATCCACTCCTTACCTTTCTAATTAGGAAAATGGAGACCCTGTCAGAAATGTGGTATAACACTATGGAGTTCTCTTTAAACAGTGCCGATGGTCCTGGTGCTATCCTAAAAGCTTTACAGTTTACAAATCCAGGCCTCACTGCCAACCTAGGCAGATGGAGAAATGAGGAAACTGAGGTGGAGTGAAGTAACCAGTCTGGTATCAGGATAGCTGTGAAGAAGGCGAACCTAAATGGTTTTCATCAGATCCCTGCTCTCAAACAACACTAAGGCATTTCTCTAAAATCACAGTTCAATGCGGCAGCCACTGGCCACCTTCCCTAGCTAAACATAAATTAGTTGGCGGGTCATGGTAACATGTCTTTATCCCCAGCACTTGGGAGGCAGAGGCAGGAGTATCATGACTGGTCTACAAAGTGAGTTCCAGGACAGCCAGAACTGTTACACAGAGAAACCCTGTCTTGAAAATCAAATCAAATCAAACAAAACAATAAAAGCCCATAAACTGACATTAAGTAAAATTAAATTTTCATCTCCTTAATATTATTCCAGGGCTCAATAGTTGTGGGAACACCAGACCTTGAGCAGAGACCCACTTCCCCCTCTGCCTGGGAGTAGGCAGCTGTAAGACAATGTTTACTAAAAACATGTTTACTAAAAACAATACAATGCCTGGGGGCATTAAGTTCCTGGAAAAGGCCTGCCCACAGAAACTACCCTGACCTCGACCTTGTCCAAAGACTAACCACCTCTTCTGCCACGCCCAGATCAGTTTCTGGGGTCAGAGCAGAACCAGCCAGGGGAGAGGAGAGAGCAGAAGCTTCTCTGGTGGGAGCCTTTCTTAGGAAGTTTTCTTGAACCTTTTTGGGGCCTGCTTAAAGTTTTCTTTACATCGTTGAACGAGTCTCTGTGTTGTCAATCCCCGACACCCTCCGCACGTTCTCGGACACAGGCCGCGCAGCAGACGCGACAAGTAGTCACAAGCTGTTAGTGGCTACTAAATTGGACATCACAGATACAAGCCATGAGATCATGTTTCTCTGGAAAGACTGTCAGAAAGAAAGAAGCTGTGTCCCACAAACATGGAGGGTTGAATGGGTCTTGCTGACTGTTACAACAAACATATTCAAAATACACAGTTGTGTAACTCTTTAACTTTGACATATGTATTTCATTCATTTACGTACTCAATATACACTTCATGAGCACTATCATGTTCCAGGACCTGTGCTAGAGACAGAAGGACGCACAGAAGGATGTGGCCCTGTCCTCAGGAACCCACAACACGATGGAGGAGGTGGCATTCTTGGGTAGTGTTCTGAGAATGACTAGGTGTTAGGAGAGGTGTTGGGGAGTCTCACTTGGAGCATACTGACTTTGAGGTGCCTGAAGAACACGCACCCAAGAGGATGTGAGGGGCTGGAGTTCAAGTTGTAAGATCAGATAACAGACCTGAGAACCAGAAACCTCAATGTAGTCATTAGATAATGCGTCACCTAAATTCATGCTAGGAGGGTGCTGAGCAAGAACAGAATCAGCCAAGGACAAAATCAACTCAGGGTCATGTTGGGGGCAGATGAGAAACAACACCAGGGAAAGCCAGAGAAACCACATCAGAAGCTCATTGCAAAGGAATGGGGTCTCAGAAACCAAGTTTGGGGTGTGCTGCTAACAGAGAGCCTGGATAATATAAGGAACTAGAAAAGAGCCATTTTAATGGAGGGGCAAAGGTAGAAACCAGTGGGCAGTGGGTATGAGAAGAAATGGAAAAAGAGAAACAGAAAACACCATAAAACTGAAGAGAACTCCCAGCTGTGAAAATCCAAGGGCCCTCAGCATATTTATTGACTTCATTAAAGAAGCCCAGTGGTGATGGGTGTGATGGAGTACATCTTTAATCCCAGAGGCAGGCAGATCTCTGTGAGTTGGAGGCCAGCCTGGTCTACAGAGCTAATTCCAGGACAGCCAGGGCTAAGTAGAAAGACCCTGTCTCTAAAATGTAAGAAGGGGAGAAAAGAAAAGAAAGAAAAAGAACAGAAGTCCTGTGTGGGGCAAATGGCAAGGCCTGGGAATGGAGAAGGGGTGATAATGGAGTAAGCTCTGGAGGTCGCAGGAAGCAAGGGGTCCAGAGCAGGAGCAGAGATCGCTAGTGAGAGGCCCAGAGAATGGACAGAATAAAGAAATTAAGCATAGGAAGTAACAGTCACTCGTTACAAAGGAGACACTCCCTGGGGCCAAGGATGAAACCTAAACCGATGCAGACTACCCGGGCTTAGAACCCCTACAAGCCGCTTCCACTGGGCCCACCACAGTCAGGCATGCACACCCTCAGCTCCACCCTGAAATGCCTTCTCACTCCTACTAGTCAATGGCCAGAAAAACCTCAGCTTTTCTTCAAGTAGCCCCCACATAACAAGGAGCTTAGGCTTGGTGAGTAGGACCAGGGAGGGAAAAATTCCTTCTCTGTGTGTTCTAGATTTATCTCTCAAACTGTGCTTCAAGCTCACACTAGGGAAGACAGGTGGTCTGAACAGGGTGCCTCTTTCTAGGCACCATCCCGAATGTCTCTGAGTGGATCTCAAAGAGCCAAACACAGCCCCAGTGTTTTGTTAGTAACTCCATACCAGCCTGAAGATATAGGACATCACCTATCCCAGTCTGCAAAACCCTAAATATTCTCGCCACAGGTGAGACCAGCAGCCCCAGAGACCTGCACAGACAGGCAGGCAGTCGTCTGAGAGTCTAGGTACCTGCCTCCCATAGTACATGTGTCAGCATGCACACACACACACACACACACACACACACACACACACACACACACACACCTCCTCTGGACCCCTCTCCATAGAGTTTGCCATTGTATTTAATATTATGTTGTGCCTTGTTTGTTTACATTTTTTCCTTCTAGCCCCATTATATTTGGGGCTTCTTCATGAAATAGATGATGGAATCTAGCACCCGATACACATATAGAGAGAATTGGTCTGGGATGACATAGAGCTAAGCTGAGTTGAATTGAACCAAAATGACAGTGAGGGACACAGACAGTAATTTTCCCAGCTCCCAGCCCCTACTCTCCAACAAGGTCCTCATTGCTTCTTATGGAACAGAGCCGGGGCTGGTTCATTGCTAGGCTCAGCCATGACCTGCATGGGCTGGTTGTTCAGGGCAGCCTCTCGCATCTTGTGGTACATGAACTCATTCTGGCGGAACATACGCAGCTCCATCTCTGTCTGCACCCTCATGGCCTGTGGGACACAGATAACAGCACTGAGAGTGACACGTCCCCAAGACAAGGTCCTAACATATCTTTGGATAAACGATGAGTGGTCAGTAAGAATCAACTCTACCCCTTCAGAAACACGTGTGTGTTTGTGTGTGTGAGAGAGAGCTGGGGGGGGGGCACCACGGTGGACTGATGGTGTGGCAGCAGGCCTAGCAGCACAGGGAGAGGGAGTTGAGAGTTGGACCCTGAGACAGCAGCTGAAGAGTTGTTTTTAGCATAGAACTCCTCTTCCCTCTGTCAGCTGAGGACCCAAGTCTGAACCATAGATCCTGACCTCTGTACTTACAGGACCTCAGTGAAGGGACTTAACCACAGCGGGTTGGGAAGATTATAGTTGCACAACACAAAACAAAGTCTTTGCCCTCCCACAAAACCCCTCAGGGCTTATCCAGAAGAGCTAGTTGTCAAGAGGCCCAGGACACCATGGTAAGTAAGATTGACAGAGACTCTGCCTTTACTAAGTTTTCTATACTAGATATAAAATTAACCATCTCGACCTTACCATCAACTACTGAATAACTAGAGATGAGTACTACCCTCCCTTGGGCCTCTGTTTCCTCATACATAATCAAGGGGTAAGGTTAATGCATCCTAAAGTTCTTTCTGGTCTAGCTGGCAGTCTACAGACTTCCATAAAGCAAAGTCCAGGTGAACCAGGACTCCCACCTCAAGAGACCTTCAAGCAGGACAGGGACTGCCCACCTCCAGGATGCTATTTACCTCTAAGTCCTTGGTGATAGGGTGGGAGGGTCCGTGTGTCACCAGGAGAATTGCATAGGCTTTGCAGATCATCCCATGCCCCACTTCGATGTTACCAGCATGCCAGTTGGTCAGCCCTGCACGCATCACAGCCATGCCCAGCTGGGCATTGTTATGGTGGTAGAGCTTCCTGCAGAGGCACAGAAAGTAATCATGACTCATCATGATTACTAACCTTCCTTACATCTGTACAGCACAGAATAACCGCTAAAGCACTCTTGGCAGTTATAGTTGTCACCTTGACATAACCTAGCATCACTTGGAAAAGAGTCTCAATGAGGAGTCTTCTAGATTAGATTGGCTATGGGTGTGTTTGTGGACAGCCATCTTGAGGACCTTTGAATAGCACCATTCCCCGAGCAGGAGATCCTAAACAAACTGAGAGCAATCTTGCATTCATTTGTTCATTCCTCTCTGCTCTTGAGCCTGGGTGCGATGTGACATCAGCTTCCCTGAAATGGTGGACTGTGACCTGGAATTGTAGCCAAAAGAAACCCTTCCTCCTCTAAGCTGATTAGCCAGGGTATTCTGTCACAGCAAATGGAAATGGCACCAAGGCCAGTACTGCTATTGAGCAAGTCCTTCTAGTCTTCCCACTCCTGCTGTGAGGCTCCAGCGACTTGTTGTGGGGTAGAGAAAGCCAGAGCTGGCTAATGTTCTACACAGTGAAGTCCAGAGAGTTGGGACTCTGACCTGAGCCACCAAGCCAAGGCTTCATGGACAAAGAGGGCCACAGCTGTATTCTGAGCATGAGCATAGGGAGCTAGCTACCATCTGGAGCACCCCCAGTTCTCTGGGGGACATGAAAAGGAGCTCAAGGTGGGAAATATAACTTCATTGTCTTGCCTGGGGCTGCACTGTATTTTTCTTCTCTTGGCAGGGTTCCTGCCTAGCATGCTGGACCATTCACCTGCATTTTTTAATGAGAAGCATCTCTAAAGAAAAGCCTTCTTATGACAAGTTAGTCATCTGACAAGAAACACAAATTCCTAGGCTAATGTGAACATAGAAGACAAGAGAGAGCATTGGTGGAGGAGGGATGAAAAAGCAGCGTATTATAATTCATAAACAAGAATGATCTCTCCATAGCAGAGCTGTGAAAACCGTATGCATGTACAGTGTATATCCACACACACGTTATACTTGTAAGTATGTACACACACATGCATACATATGTAAACATACACGCAATACCAATATATTGCTATGGTTTGGGTAAGTGCCTACCCCCAAGGCCCGTGTGCTAAAGGGTTGGTCAAAGATTGTTAAAGAGAGAATAAAAAAACTTTCCAAGCATTTAAGATCAAGCTTCATTTTGGAAAATCCAAAGCAGAAGATTCTGCTCAAGTGACAAATAAGGAAGTAAAAACAAACAAACACACCAGAGATGACAACATCTGAGGACCAACTCTGACTGTTTCATCATTACTGCTTGGGGCACCATGATAAAAGCCTAATTTGTAAGGAGAAATAGGACTGTGACTGTAGTCTGTAGTTATGTGGACTGTGACCATGGCCTTTGTAGGTACAGGAGGAATAATCAAACATGTGCTATCTCTTTGGCATCCCTGAACAGAGGGTTTCCCGGAAACTGCCTGAGACTCAGGACCATCACCTACATGTAGCCATCCACCATCCTCCTGGCATAGTGTGAGGCCTCCTCAAAGGCCTGGAGGTAGGAGAGGACCTCTGACACAATGCTTAGCAGTCGAAGCACGTAGAGGTTGGTGTCGGCAAACACTGACTCCTGCTTCTCCAGGCACTCCCGGCACAGCTTCACAACCTGGAGGGAGACACAGCTTCATCCATCATCACTATACCAGAGTCTATGCTTAACTGACAGGTGGAACATCAAGGCAACACTAGGCTCACTCTTTGAAAGCTGGAGAGATAGAGGGGGGTGGGAGGGACAAGATTTGCGATTTGATCTAACAAAATGGTCTTCCTGGCTAAAACACTGGCCTGGGAAAGGGTAGGGTTGGACATAAGGATGATACAGCAACCTGAGGCAGTTTTCTTGCTGGACATCAGTAGGCAGCAGAGCCATGGAAACTACATATGCATGCATGTGTGCATGTCTACACATACACTAAACTCATGTGTATATGTGTACACATGTGCATACATATACATAGATATACACAATGTAAATATATTGATACTGTTTGGGTAAGTGCCCGCCCCTGAGGCCTATGTGCTCAAGGCTTAGTCGTCAGCCTGTGGTGTTGTTCGGAGGTAGAAGTGAAGAGACATGGAGCCCATGGGGACCCCACCACTTACTCTGGCTCCTAACACGTGCCTTTGCCATAGATTCCTTACTATGTGCAAAACTTCATTTTCATGGCTTCTTCTCACCTGACAGAACTCAGGGAATAAAAAGAATGCCTTGCATTGGTCACCGTAGTGAGGGTCAATGCATGTGCAAAGGATGAACCAGTAAAGGAGAAGGAGGAAGAGAAGGGAAATGGGACAGATATGAAGTGAAGCTAACGGCCATACTAGCATGCCCTAGCGACATCCACACCTGGCTCATCCAAGCTGAGTAATGAGCTTGGGGGAAAGCCACTGAGTCATGGTGCCTCTGTTCTATTTTAGAATGGGTAGATCGCTGTTGGGGAGAATTGTTCACAGCCATTCCATCATCCCAGTAAAGTCACCTTGATCAAAGGGCCAAGGCGGCAATTAGCTGACTGGGATTAGCCACAGGGTTCTTGGAAGACTGAGGAAGTCTGCTAAAAAAGGCAGAAAGACAGAAGGGAGGATTTCTGGGAAAGGTGCTTTGGAAAAAAAATGTGGAGGGAAGGTCAGCTGTCCTAGCATTTAGTAAGTTTTTATCTTAATTTCTGACTCCCAAGTCTTTATTATACTGACAATTTAGATGTTCATTATAGATCCCAGTTTAGAAGGTGAGACACAAGAATTGACTTCCAGCAAGCTGTTGAGAGTAATTCAAAGCAACTTCCCAGGTATGGTGGTGTATGCCTGTGATCCCTATACTCAGGAGGACAGAGAATTCAAGGTCTGCCTACATTACATATCAAGGCCGTGTCCCCCAAAACTAACACAGCAATATCACCGCAGGCCACTTGGTAGTACATTGAAAGCCTACGGAAGCTACGAAATCTTGATGCTTAGATCCCTCTAGCAGAGATTTTTTAGAGATGTCCTGGTTGGAGGAGGAGCATGAAATGTTTGCACAGGTGATTATAGGATAGAGCCAGATGAGAATCTGTGGGGCTTTAGATGCTAAAGTTTCAGTGGGCAGCCACAGGATGTGAGAGGCGCATGCTCAGTGATGGCAATGCAAGCAGGCCAATCTCAGAGCACCCCCCCCCCCCGCCCAAGCCATTGTTATTCTTTCATTTCTGATGCCACCTGAACTGTCACGGGCACTCTCCCGGCCCCTAGCACATGGATCCATGCATGTGCGCTCTCCTTGGACAGAATTCATTGGGCTGAGCAGTCACTGAGAATACAGCTTTGAAGGGCATGGGAGAAATGGCGTTTCTGGAAGCACAACCTGTTCAGCGGTCTCCCCTTCTATTTACACACCTCCCTTACCTCCCACCCACTTCCCCGCCGCTATCCTCTATTAAAAGTGCTCTCACCTCATGATACAAACCCTCAGAGCGAGCCTTGTCTATTTTTTCCAGTGTATCCTTTGAGAACTGTACCGTCTCCTTCACCACTTCTGGGGAGGGCTGGGAAAGAGAGAGGCATCCAGTTTGAGATCACCTCATGGGGCAGCCCATTTTATCCTAGAGTACCTGAAGGCCAGGAATGTAGTTCCATGGCAGAGCACCTGCCTTGCATGCATAAGACCCAAGGTTCAATCCCACTACTATCAAAAAAGAAACAAAAGTAAACTATCTTCAAGGGTCTGACTTCTCTGACATTCACTGGAATGCAGGAACAGAGCCTTCCATACGATGATTGCCTCTTTTCTCCTAATGTGGAAAGACCTGTGACTTTTCCAACTGCTTCTTCGTGCTTCTTTTTCTTGCTTTCTTCATTTAAAGTTTCCTTGGTTTTGGAGGATTTCACACATGAGCACTGTGTTCATATCGTTTCCATCCCTGGTCCCTACTTCAATCTCCCATGCTTCTCCACTCCCTCAATGTTGTTCACAAATGTTTAGGGAGGACCACTTGGCTTGAATAACGTACCAGGAAGCTCATCCCTGGGGAAAACTGATTCTCCCTCTCTCGGCAGACATGAGTTCTGTAGTTCTTCATCTAGAGGCAGTGCCTCATAAGAATTCCCCGTCCACACTGGTATATTGACTACTGTCTTTATGCATCGGATTCCACTACAAGCAGTTGTGAGCCACCACGAGTGCTGGGAATTGAACTCAGGACCTCTGGAAGAGCAGCCAGTGATCTTAACTCCCAAGCCATCTCTCCAGGCCCAGGCTGAGTTACTTTTATTTTGGGTTCATTTATTAACTTTAATTAAGAACCCAAAATAAGAGGCCAGCAAGATGGCTCAATGGGTAAAGGAACTTGCCACTAAACCTGGGAAGCTGAATTTAATTCCTGAGACCCACATGATAGAAGAGGAGAACCGACTCCTGCACATTCTTTGTTCATATGAACACACACACTTGCATAAATATATACACGCATACATACATGCATGCATACATACACACACATAAATAAATGCGGTTTTTGTTTTTTGTTTGTTTGGAAGGGTTGTTTGTTTTGAGACAGGGTGTCTCTATTATGTAGCTCTAGCTGTCCTGGAACACACTGTGTAGACCAAGCTGGCCTCAAAGTCATAGAGACCCACCTGCTTCTACTTCCCTGAACCTAAAGGCATGTCCCACCATACCCAGTCAATAAATACAACTTAGATTTTTAAAAATAGAAAGCCCAATGTGGTGTTTAGGAAATATTAGAAAGATTTTTCTGTAAATCTAGTTAAGTTCAAGCAGAAATCATATATCTTTTATCAGAGACATGTCAACCTGAGAGACATTGGCATGTTATCACTACTAACAACCTATCTATAGTGACAGAGAAGGGCCTAAGCCCACCCATCACCTTCTGGACTGTGGAAACCCATCAAAAATATATAAAGACTCAAACTACTATGTGTTGTATAATTTTGAAGGTGGGAAAAGAGATCTTGTCTACTTAGAAAACATATAACTAAGTAGCAGAATGATTGAGTTAAGAAACACATGCTCAGGGCCAGGCTCCAAGGTTCATGGACAAACTCAATATCCTCTAGTCCTCTGGTGGACTCTTATTCTCTATGTAGTGCCCAGAGCAAGTCCAAGGTTACAATAACTTTGATTCTGTGAAACAGAGATTGCTTCTGTAAGAAAGCAAAATCAAAAATCAAAAACCCATGATCTTTGGCCCCAAATACTTTATCTCCTGTGTTCGAGGACTGACCTAATTTCTCCACCCCATGCTTCATTGACCTTAATTATACGGTCACAGCTTCCTTCTATTTCTTTCTGCATGGATACTGACTTTGCTTGCATGCCAAAGTATGCATACATGTGCCCTTTAACTTTCGTGACATGGTAAACAGACATGATGTTATGAATTAAATGTCGTCCTTTCAAAATTCATACAGTGAAGTCTAAGCCCCAACACCTCAGCGTGCAGCCTTCCTTGCAGATACAATTACTTAAGATGAGGTCATGTTGAGTGAAGTAGGGTGGATTCCTAACCCCACACAACTGAAGATGATTGAGAAGCAAAAGGGAAGATGTAAAGAGACACCAGGAGAGATAGCTTTCTACAAACACAGGAGAAACATCTAGAATAGATCCTTCCCGCAGAGCCTGCCAATGGCTGGACTCTGGGCCTCTGGCTCTCAGAATCTGAAGGCTGGTCACACTGAGGTTTACACTACCAAGTTTAGGGCATCAGCTATAACAACTCTAGCATTCTAGGATATGCACATGGCATCTTTGGGCCCCTTAAGTCTTTTTCCTTGAACAGATCTCACTGAAGAGCTGCATACAGACACTGCTCCATGCGTTTGAATGGTTTAGAACATTTCTTCTCTTAATATATTTCCCTATGTATATTAATTTGAGGTTCCCCCTCCCAGTAATTTATTGTTCCTAAAAGCACCACTGCAGTCTATCTTTACCCATGTATCTTATTGCAAATGTATGTGTGTGTCTCTTCTGGGTAGACACTCAGAAGCAGAACTACTTGGTGAAAGTGTTTATATGATATAGTAAGAATATAAGTAAGTTATTGGCCAGAAAATTGTGTAAAAAGCCCAGGTATGAAAAGGGGGGACTGCACTGGAGTGACATGTGCATGGGGGTGGGTAGGGAATTAGAGGGTGTTTTATAAACATTAATGAAAGGAGCCATGAGCTAGGTCATGTGACCAGCACCCTGGAATTCACCTAGCACCTCTGCTCTGACCAGGAGCACATTTCCTCCTACACACAGCATTCAGAAGGGAGTTTAGAAGTTCGTGCATGGGCATCCCACAGACAGTAGTGGAGTACCAGTTATACGGCAGTACCCACGTAACCTCTTGCTATTAAGACCTCCTTACTGGGGAAGAGGAAGCCTTGAAGACACTTTTCCCCACTCTGACCTGACAGCCAGTTATTTTGTTCCCTGAGCTTTTACCCCTTGTTCTTCTAACCACAGATCTAGAAAACTGCGGGAACCTTCTGACAGAGTTCTCTGGACAGCGCAAACAATGGCGCCATGCCTGTGCTGACCCACCCTCCACCCGTGTGTGCTCCGAGGAAGGAAATGGATGAGCAGGAATTGGACCCTCTCTGGTTTCTGCTTCTTGTCTATACTGTTTGTAAGTGTCTAAACATTTTGGCATGTGGCTTTAACTGGATACTCTGTCTCCTGGCAACTCGGCTCTCTCCCAACTCAATTGAGCTCCTGGCATCCCCTTGGCAAGCCTGCCCCATCTCCATAGTACCCATCTCTACAAAACTAGGAAAGCCATATTCAAATCCCTTTGCCTATTGGACTTTGATCTCTGAAGTTCTCCACATTACTTACCCAGCACAAGGGCAGGGTGGGGAACTGAACCCTGCGGAGTGCCAGTGTGACTGCCCTTTTATACAGGTCTTCTTGTCCAGTGTCTCCTTTCCCGGAGAAGATTGGCTTCTTCCAGCTTTCCCCAGTACCAGCTGGGACCTGCCTGCCCTGCTCAGTGCTCCATCCCACGCCATCTCCTCAAGACTAGGAGCCCCATCCTTGCCCAGCTCTTGAGAAGGCAGCCTCGGACCCTGAAGCAGAGGTGTGTGTACCTTGGGGTCTTCCTTCACCGCCTGGAAGAGGTCATCCTTCAGTCCCTTCTGGCAGTGCTCACAGGAGCAGTCAAAGTAGTACTGTTTCCTCAGCTGCTGCCTGCGCTCCTCGCTGAGGTGGAGGAAGTCAATGTAGGATACTGTCAGCTCCTCACCTTCCGAGATCTTGCCCAGGGCCCGGAGCTCAATTCTGGAACAGGACAAAAAGGAATCAAGAGAACTATGATCAGCATTCTCCAGGGGTTCCAGGAACCCAGTTTCAAAGACAACAGCTTCAGGTAAGACTCTGAGAAAATGCCCGTACCCTCCAGAAAGTTCACACCTAAAGCAGAGTTGTCATACACATTCAATGTCACATCTGCTCCCTTCAGTTAACTTTTCTGGAATCAGTTCAAATAGAAACCCCATAAAGAACCAGGCTTGGCTGTAAAGCCCTGCACAGCATGTACCTCCAGTTTTGTACACTCAGTTACTGATTTGTAACAGAATGAGAATAATAACACAGAGAAAACAAGACGAGATCTAAATCACTTCCTTACTTTGGAGACTGCATTCTCTGTAATACGCATGCTGGGCTGCCGCCATCTTGGCACGTTCTGTACTAAACCTTAACCCTCCTTGAACTTTATGCTTCTGTTCAATGGTTCAGGCCTACGCTAAGCAGGGAATTTATGCTCACTGGAGACCACTAAAGGAATTTGAATATAAAAAGGCTGGGACTGTTAGCTGATTCACTTTTGTGTTTGTTGGAAAGTGGTGTTGAGTGGTTGTTAGCAACAGTTTTTTGTTTGTTTTTGAGACAGGGTTTCTCTGTGTAACCACCTTGCCTGTCCTGGAACTTGTTCTGTTGACCAGGCTGGCTTTGAATGGCAGCAGTCTTTTTTTTTTTTTTAAATTTCCCCTCAGCCTGAGCACGGTCCTCTCTCTAGTTACTCAGAAAACTACCCACCTTACTGTATTGATAGTACAGAAGGTGCCGAAGTTACAAGGCCCCTGAACTGCCATCCATCCAGCAAAGCCAGCTCAGTGCCTCTCAGCCATGCACTTTCCACCACAAAGTCAGACTGCAAGAAGGGGGAAGGGGAGAGGAGAAGGGGGAGGGAGAAATAAGAGGGGGGAGGGGAGACAAGAGAGGAGTGGGGGAGGGAGCAGTAATGGCAAGGTCTGTGAGCTCGGTTCTCAACTGTGCTCCTGTATCCCCAGGAGCCTGGAGTCTCACTGATGGGTAGGGATTCTTTGTCACCACCACTCAAGATCCCAGTACACCAGAAAGATTCAGAGGCACCCCCTTCCGTGTCTTCAGAGAGATAAACAAAGAAGGAACTGCTGAGTGGCAGGGATATGTGGGCCCAGATATCTGAGGTGACTACTTCAGGTTCCACAGCCTTTCCTGTAAGTGGAGGGCATGTGATAACATTGCAGGCTGGGTGGGAGTGTAGCTCAGTGGAAGAGTTATGCGAAGCATGCATAAGTCCTAGGCTGGCTCCCAGCAGTAAGGTCAGGGAAAGAGAAAAAGAATGAATGTGTGTAACAACAACTGGATGGAGCCTTGGAAAGCCTGAATGCCACCCCCTCTTGCTCCCTTGTTCCCTTTGAAAGGGGCAGGAAGAAAGGGTTGGGGCTCTACTCATATTCTGTCTTAGAAGATACAGTTACACTCCATATTGTAGAAAGGAATCTGCATGTACATATTACTGACAACACTGGTTTGTTCATTCTGAGGTAACCACTACCGACACACACAGCCCAGATGTCCACTGAGCAGAACAAGGTCAATACTGACACACTAACTAGACCCAGCATTTCATGAAGTGCCTAGGCTCGAACATCCACAGGCTGAGGTAAGAGTGCAAGGAATGATAGCCAGAGAGACAGACACCACCAGAGGCAAGGCTGACCACTGACCTGAGGGCAGGACTGAACTCCAGAGTGACTGCCCGCCTCTGTTCCTCCTGCCCACATTATCATCTCCCAGCAGAGATGGCACCAGAAGATGTAGTCTACTGCCTTCGCAGACAATGCGTTGGCTGTCTGGCTGGAGCACAGTTTAAATGTTAATCCCTGGCGGTGCCAGGCAGACGGAGCTCTGGCGTTCCAGGGACACTTCCCAATTTTCACTCAGAGTTGTAACTGAAGTGATAAAAGGCAGGTGGGGAGGCAGGTCACATGACCCTGTGCTGGAAACCCTGGCATTTCCAAGCAGCAGAGGACCCTCATTTCACCAAGAAGGCTGCCGACGTGAGGGAAATGTCATTTCCATCAAGACCCCACAGCACTATGGAGACAGAGGCCAAGATTAGAACGCAGGAACCCTTTGTGCCCTTCGGCCTGACAACAGATGGCTTTAAGGTGTCTCTGGGGTCTGTGACACATGGAAAAGGGCCTTGCTTTTAGGGCTGCACTAATGCTCTAATCTGTCCTATGGGCGCCACTCCTGGGCCAGTGAGGACAGCGGGAGGCTAGTGCCCGAGTGCACAAGGAGGACAAATTGGAAGCATTCTTCTACTGACTTGTATCTCCAGCCTCCATGTTCTGTGTTTTGGGCATGACATATTTGGGGGAATATGCATTCCCCACTAGACCCTTCTTACAGAGCTGGCCACCGTAGTGGCATGTCATGATCCAGTGTGATTCAGTGGCAAATTGGTTGGTACTTCCAGAAACTCTGATTCCATGCAAGGCCTCAGGTATCTCTGATTATGTAAGTAATGTGGGGGGGGGATCAAAACCAGAGTGGGATGATGCATGCTGCAATCCCAGCACTCTTGAAGATTATGAATTTAAGGTCAGCCTGGGCTACAGAGAAAGCCGGGATTATGCTGCAAGACCCTTTATCAAGAAAGAAAGAAGGCCATGCGGTGGTGGTGCACGCCATTAGTCCCAGCACTTGAGAGGCAGAGACAGGCAGATCTCAGTGAGTCAGCCTGGTCTACAGAGTGAGTTCCAGGACAGCCAGGGCTGTTACACAGAGAAACCCTGTCTGGGAAAACCAAAACCAGAAAGAAAGAAGGAAGGAAAGAAATAAAGAGAGGGAGAGGGGGAAAGGAAGAAGAGAAAAATGAAGGATGACAACGAGAAAAGGGGAAAAGAGGAGGAAGGAAAAGGCACAGGAAGGGAGGGAAGAGAAGAAATAGAAGATTTCCAAAAAGGAATTAACTTTATGTCACATAAGTACGACAGTATGCCTATAATCTCAAAGACACAGGCAATAATTCAAGGCCTGCCTTGATAACAGAGTTCAAGGAAAGCCTGGGAAGATTAGTGATGGATGGTCTCAATAAAAATTAGAAATGGGACTAGATACAACTCGGGGTTAGATTCCTTGTCTAAGAGCTGAGGCTTTAGGTTCCATCCCTAGGACTGGAAAGAAGAAAAGAGAGAGAAGAGGTGAGGGGACGGGAGAGGATACATAGATCTCATCCCATTTTCTGCAGATGCTTCTCAACACATAGCAGTGTATGCCCCAATAAATCCATGATACAATGAAAACACTATAAGCATGTATTTAACACATCTAATGCACTTAGCTTTGCCTGCCTTAACTGTGCTCAAATCGTATCCAATAGGCCATAGGCAAAACTCAGTACAAAGCCTGTTTTATAATGAAGGGATGAATGTCTCCCGGTTTGCTTATCTTTATACTAAAGGTGAGAAAATCATAGTTATATCCTTACATGTTTGTTATCACCATAAAACATAAAAGCTGTTAAGTCAAGCCACCTTGCGTTAGGAACTATTTATATTCAGAATCATGAGCTGAGAGATGAACCGTGGTTAAAACAATCACGGCAGGAGCCAAGAATTGAAGGCTTAGCCTTCCTCCACCCAGCTTCCTTGGGCAAGTCTGATTCACCCCAAGCCGCAGACCCCTTCCATCTCTAATAGGCCATAGTTGAATAATGGAGCTAATGGAGCTAACCAAACTGCAAGCAAGCAGCTCATCCAAGTGTTTCTTGCAGACATTTGGAACACAGCTGGAGCAAAGGAGGCTTAGAACCTGGGAGGCCCTGAAAGTTGCTTTTTTGCTATTGTTTATTTTGTTATTTTGTTTAGTTTTGAAACAATGTCTTATATAGCCCAGGCTGTCTCAAGATCATTTTGTACCCAAGGATGACTTGGAACTCCTAATTCTCCTGCCCTACTGCCCAAACGTTCAATTATGCACTTTTCACCTTCACATTACAAGTTTAGAACCCCAGCCCAGGACATGGGGAGAGCTGTTCGAAGTCGCAAGCAGTACACACAAACACAGATGAACCAACCACTCCTGTCCCTCATGCCAAAGCCCAAACTTTGCAATACATGTTTTGTTGTTGTTTTCGAGACAGGGTTTCTCTGCAGCTTTGGAGCATGTTCTGGAACTCGCTCTCTAGACCAGGCTGGCCTTGAACTCAGAGAGATAGCCTGCCTCTGCCTCCCAGGAGCTGGGATTAAAGGTGTGTGCCACCAGCACTCGGGAGGCAGAGGCAGGTGGATCTCTGTGAGTTTGAGGCCGGGCTGGACCGAGAGCCTCCAAAACAATACAGAGAAACCCTGTCTCGTAAAAAAAAACAAATAAAATAAAATAAAATAAAAAAAGTCCAGAGGACATGGAATTTGGGATAGCCAGGTCATAGTCACTCAAAATTACTCCAAAATAAAGTTTTTCTTTTTCCTTTTAAGAGAAAAGCCGTGAATTTTGAATCAATAATCATGGTGCCACAACATGAGATTCTTAAAATGTTCCACTTTTCACCAAAGCAATCACCTGAACAGAAGTCAGGCACAGACAAGGACCCTTTTTGTCCAGACCATCTGCTGTTACTTCTGATGAACCAACCTGCCTCCATCTTAGACTTTAAAGCCATCTTATAGTAAAGACAAACTAGGTTCATTCCTGTTTATGATTAAATCTGTTTCTCAAGGACTGGGCTATGCCCCACCTGCAATCCTAACTATAAATGGTTCTGTACTGCCTGTTCCAGGAAATAGTAACCATGTCTTTGTTTCAAGAAGCCATAATGGCCATTTTGCAACCCAACCTTTGTTTCAAAAGATTATTATGACTTCCTATTGTTACCACTGCCAGTGATTACCCTGTTAGAACCGCCTTGCAATCATGTCTTTGTTTCAAAAGGTTGTTATGATCAACTTACTATGCTTACATTCTGCTCCTATAATCCTGAGTATTTACCCCTCCCCCCTTGGAAAACCCTGAGCTATAAAAGCCTTCTCTTCCTCACATCCTCACCTCTCAAACCCCACCTTAGGGGGAGGCAGCCTGTAAACAGGAATATAAAAGCTTACTTTAATTAATTGCTTGCTGTAATTAATTTGGCCATGATGGTTTGGGTCAATGGTCTTTACCCTCAAGTCTCTGGAATTAAAAACTTCCTTAGGTGAATTGTTGGTGAGTTCTTGAGTAGTGGGGAGGGGAGTTCTGGACCTCCCTTGGCTTGGCCAATGGTCCATTTTCTTTATTTTGAACTGGTTAACAAGGATCTTTCTTTGAAAGATGTGTTTTGGGCCTGATTTCTAAGTATTTCGTTAAAGTATTTAGTTTGTTTGCTTGCTTTTGGATCTCCAAAAGCATTTTGAATTTGGCTTGTTTTCAGTATTTTGTTCCTTTTTGGAACTTTGAAGGCATTTTGGTTTTTGTTTTGTCTGTCTTTGTTTTCATTGTCTTTGAAATGTTTTGTATTTATTATTATTTGGCCTTTGTCTCCTGACACTCCTCAAACTCACAGCTGTGTTTCTCTGATGTTTCTCCTGTGACTTTACTTTAGATTAGGAATTTTTGTTTTGTTTTGTTTTGTTTTGTTTTTCGAGACAGGGTTTCCCTGTGGCTTTGGAGGCTGTCCTGGAACTCGCTCGGTAGACCAGGCTGGTCTTGAACTCACAATGATCCGCCTGCCTCTGCCTCCCGAGTGCTGGGATTAAAGGCGTGTGCCACCAACACCCGGCTAGATTGGGAATTTTATGAGCACCTGTCAGTAAAGATGCCAAAGACAAGGGGTACTTGTTCCCTCCCCCCAAAAAGTGTGGTGATGTCAGGGGCAATGCCCCATACAATGACCTTTAGGGAAACATTCCTGGGCTGGAGGAACTGTACTGGCTTGCTCAGGAAGACACACAATGAAGGATTGGCCACCTAGTGTCTTGAAACCCTCGCATTTCTGTAAACATGTGGCATCCTAAGTCTCAGTGGGAAAGGTCCCGGGGTAAAACCTGAAAAGATCAATCGCAAAAGCAGCAGGTAAGACTGATCCAAAACACGTATTCTCTAGCTACCGTGGACAGGCAATTTTTTTTAGGAGAAAAGAAAAGCATATATATAAAATGTGGGGAAAAGGTTTCCAAATAGGAGGAAATGTTCGCTGTCAGGTGATAGTCACTAACATTCAACTATTTGGAAAATGGGGAGATCCAGAGAAGACTACTACTATTCCATTGCTGTGAAAATGCACCATGACTAAGGTAACTTACAAAGTAGGCATTTAGGTGAGGGCTTGCTTAGAGTTTCAGAGGATTAGTCCATGACCATCATGGCAGAGAGCATGGTGGCAGGCAGGCACGGTGCTGGAGCAGAGAGTTCCCATCTGATCCACAAATAGCAGGCAAAGAGAGACAAAACTGGGCCTGGCATGAGCTTTTAAACCTCAAAGCCTACCCGCAATGACACATCTCAAACAAGGCCACAGCTTCGAATCCTCTTCAAACAGTTCTGCAAACTGGGAACCAAACATTCAAGTATATGGCCAGTGGTGGCCACTCTCGTTCAAAGAGTTTACAACCTCCAAACTGGTTTATTTTGCATGCTTAACAAAGTCCTAGGCAATGAAGTTTAAAAAGCAAAAATCACAAACAGGCACCCTGCTTTAATTAAAACATAAAATATTTGTCAAAACTAACATTGGTAATTTATAATAAAGAGGTCTTCAAAAACCTCTACATGTGAGTTAAATTAGGTGCTAAAGTTAAAAATTATTGCTTTAGTTTTTGATTGACATCATTTTTTAAAGATTTATTTATTATGTATATAGTGTTCTGCCTACATGTATGCCTGCAGGCCAGAAGCAGGCATTAGATGTCACTATAGGTGGTTGTGAGCCACCATATAGTTGCTGGGAATTGAACTCAGGACCCCTGGAAGAGCAGCCAGTGCTCTTAACTTTCAGCCATCTCTCCAGCCCTGTTTTAGATTTTTATATAAAAAGAAAAGGTATATTCTAGTATAGGTGTCTCCTCTCCTCTTTCTCTGGCCTTGCTTTGTCTTTCTTACACTTTTCCTTGGGCAGCTTTTTCCTTTAATTCTCATGTTCACGGTGTCTTTATTATACAAACCAGTCCTAACATTCCTGTCAGCCTTAAATGCAAAAATCTCAGTTAAAAATCTCCCTTAAGCTGTTCCCTACAGCTTAAGGGAACTCCTAGGACCATTAACGGTAACTCCTGCATCCCCTCAACATCACTCCTTGGGATCTATGCTGAGACCTATCTTCAAGCATATTGTTGAGTTTCCTTGTCTGTTATTTGACTGATGGGTTTGTTAGACATGGTTTCTGTGTTCCTTTGCATCTGTTTTTCTAACAAGAAGCCCACTGAAAGTTCCCAGACCCATCCCTACTCTGCTCCTGGATCAGATGTAGTAACACATGGCTTCTCTGGGGAACAGCTTCATGAAACTTGACTCCCCCTCATAGTAGAGCTGGCAGATAGAAAGATGTCCTAGATGTACTCATATCTCTCAATCTGATTATCAGACTGTCGCCAAGGGTGGACCCAAAAGATATGGGAGTTTCTCTGGGAGAGGGAAGGGCCACAAAGGGAACTTATCTCCCTGAAAGAGATTTCACAGAGTTCTAACAATGTACAGGATGAGACTCAGATGATGATGAATCAGTGGAGGACAGAACCACGCCCTGAGGAAGGCAGAACTGCACCTTGACCAGGACTGCTCAGACATGCATATCTCATCCCTCTAGGTAAACTTTGGTCTTCAGGACTTCAAATATGGACTTGGCAAATTTGCGGGATCTCTTTGTTCTCCTCAAACTTCACAATGTGACCTGAATAAAATAAATCTTTTTTTCTGCTTTCCATTTTGAATTTGTCTATTTTAATTGACTTTTTGTGAAAGGGTGGCCATACCTGACTTGGTACAAGCTATGACCCAAGACACCTGCTAGAAAGCAGTCTGGGATACATTAAAAACAAACAAAACAAAACACTACACCTCAGCTATCTAAAGAAAGGGAGAGAGAATCTTAAGACTATGTGACTCAATCTTTTGTGTTACTAAAGTGTTTCTCACATCTTGATGAAATAAAGAAACTTCTTTTTTTTTTAAATTGGAAGCACTTACTGTTATGTAATTGTGCTGTAAGTCTATCTATCATAATTGGTTTTGTATTTTTTTGTTGTCTTCATTTGATGTCTGTGTCAAAAAAATTAACAAACTGTGGACACTTCACTTTCCTTTTTAATTCATTATTGTTATATACTAAAATTATTTTTTGTGTGCCCAATTAAAGTGCAGGTGCTGATTAAATTGAAATATTGTGATCATATATTAAGGCCTGATAAATATATACTATACTATTTTATAAATGTGAGCACTCTCAGGGAAGGAGGGGAGGGAGGGGGAACTGGGATTGACATGTAAAACAAGCTTGTTTCTAATTTAAATGAAAAAATGTGAGCACTCTAAACATCTATTAAAATGATATTTTAGGAATATTGAATGTTTCATAAACCTTTATTAATATGTGCATAGATTTTTGACAAGGATTTAATTCTAAACCAGATACTAAATACATATACATTTTTATTCCATTTATATAAGGAGTAACATGAAATTCATATGATCTTCAAAATATTTTTTAAACTGTTAAACATAAGTTTTTATTATGGTTGGACTATATATGAATTATTAGATATGTGTCTACTAAAGATCTCTATGCTGTTTCCTTTTCATAATGATAATTATAGAAAATATAAACCCAACAAACAATAATGTTTAAAATCTTTGCTTATTAAAATATATTTTATGTCTGACTACTTATATAAACTATCTGTCTATACATACAAGGCTATGGTTTGCTTATTATTACATAATATACTTACTACCAAATTGGCTTATAAGTAAATACTTATGTAAACTAAAGTTGTTAACTTGGCTAAGCTTCATTTTGGCTCATAGTCAAACTAAAAGTTTAAGAAACAGAATAATGATAAAAGACAAAAAGTATATTTAATTGATGTACCCACATAGGTAAAACCAACAAAGATGAAAAATGGCCCTAAATCTTTCTTTGAGATAATTAATGCAAATTTTTCAATTAAAAAATTTAAATCTGGGCAGAAGAGATGGCTCAGCAGTTAAGAGCACTGGCTGCTTTTCCAGAGGTGCTGGGTTCAACTCCCAGCACACACATGGCTGGTCCAGACTAGCTCCAACTCCAGTCCCAGGATCTCATGCCCTCTTCTGGAATCTATGGGCACTGCATGAACACAGTGCACAGACATACACACAGGCAAAACATCCATATACATAAAAATACTAAATAAATAAAATTTTAAATTTGCTTTTTACAGATAAGACTACATAATCAAACAAATCAAACCAGACATAATCTGGCCAAGATGTTATCGCCTCAATCCTTATCCCAATTCTGTTCTACTACGTTATAAATGCCAAACTTTACCCTGCTCTAGATGCCTTGTACGTTTAATGCCTCACAAACACTAGTGAAAAGTAGATGCTTTTACTAACAAAAAAAGCATTTCAAGCTACATGTTATAATAACTTGGATCTTCAACAAGTAATATTTAGATTTGGTTAAGAAAACGGTTAATGTACTTTACCTGCTTTTATAACTTTTAGATATCTAAGACATCATATGATTTCTGTGTTTTATATTTAGCCTGCTGAACTTTCATTTAAAATTATCTCACTAAAATTGTTTTCCTAAATTTTGTAATAATAATAATAATAATAATAATAATAATGTTAAGATTAAAGTATGCTGTAGAAGGTTGTTTTAAAAATATAGTTGTCGCCGGGCGTTGGTGGTGCGCGCCTTTAATCCCAACACTCGGAAGGCAGAGGCAGGCAGATCTCTGTGAGTTCGAGGTCAGCCTGGTCAACAGAGTGAGTTCCAGGACAGCCTCCAACACAATACAGAGAAACCCTGTCTTGAAAAAAAAAATATATATATATACACACGCATATATATAATTGTGACTTAGTTATAAACAGTATATATAAAAGCTTATAAAAGTTTAAAGATTAATTCAATACCCAGAGATTAAAATTAATGCTTGATTTTCTATGATATTCTCTCAAGGACTGATCTGTTCTTAGCCTTTTACTACATGGACATTTAAAGCCTGTGATTTAATATGTTTCCCACTGGACAAAAGCCTTTGCTTTTGAATAATCAGTCATTGCTTTAAATATATATATGTTTGTGTCTAGAGAGTTATGTCTATTTAGAATATTCTTAAATAGTGATTAAGAAACTTATTTCCATGGACAGATGTTTAAATCTGTTTATGAAATGGTGAGAGCCAGGCAGCCCAAGGCTTTCTCAGAGGCCCTGATGAAACGGCAGAAGGAATCTAGTCTGTGTCCCTGCCCAAGGGCAGGCTTAGCAAGGAACAGTCTGGGGCTGGGACCAGAACCTCAAAGGAGTCAAAGTTTCTATTCCTGGGTACTTGGCTTTTCTCCCTGAAGATCCGGGAGTTATCAGTTCCAAAGCCACCGCCGCATGCTGGGTCTATGATGCCCTGAGATATCCTGTGTTCCCCTTGTGCAATATTGCTTGATTAGCTTCCTGCTGACTTTGTCCCAATGCATGGTGGCTTTCTGCTGACTCTGCCCTATTTTTCTCCCACAAACTGTTTATAAGAGTCTGTACTTCTTAATAAACTTGCTTGGCATAAGACATAGTTTGTGAGACATCACCGGACCCCAGCTTTTCTATCTTCTTTAGCTTCTCATCATTTGGTCCTCCCCTTTAGGAGCCTGTCACTGGGAATGACATGTGAATGAATCCAGGTCAATCAAACTTGACCTAGCAGATTAACAAATAATGCATAATATTGTAAAATAATTATTTTAGTAATATATGAGAGAATAATTTTTAATTAAATTTAATAACTAAAAAATCAAAATTAGTTAGTCTTCCAAAAAACAAAAACCCAGACGATTCAATCAACTGAAAGAAAAAAGGACATCACATCAAAGACTCCATTCTGATTAAAGATCAGGACTGAATCCAGGAGACAAGAAACTTTCCCACATCAACTGAGAACATTGCATGTCATTAATGAGGACTTCAAAACGCTACGTGATATTCATGTCCAAGCTACTAAACATTTCTCTCACTTGTTATGTTTCTTACATATTTTTGTAATTAGCTGTTAAAAATTGTTTATGGCAGCCGGGCGGTGGTGGCGCACGCCTTTAATCCCAGCACTCGGGAGGCAGAGGCAGGCGGATCTCTGTGAGTTCGAGGCTGGGCTGGACCGATAGCCTCCAAAACAATACAGAGAAACCCTGTCTCGAAAAACCAAAAAAAAAAAAAAATTGTTTATGGCATCCATTATTCTACCTGATATATTCCTAAGGGATAAAACAATACTAATCTTGGTTTTAATGAAGTTAATATTGTGTTCTTTCATTTGATCATGTTTTTTTGTTGTGACTATTTGCTTATCCTAAATCCTACCTTATCCAAAATTAATGTTTGAAAGATTCAAGTTTTTCACTTTTTTATAGATACACATACATATATTCTCATTGCTCGGTATAGTAGGAACAAAACAAAGTGATCAAGTTTTTAAATTAAACTTTCACTCTACTTACTCTAGCTAAAGATATCCAAAGGTTTGGGTTGACTGTTATTATTCAAATTAGACAAATGACATCAATCTCTAATAGCAACATCCATGATGGTTTGAACCTTTGGCACTGATGTTTATTGTTTTAATTCATATCTAAAATGTCCAATAGTACAATTAGCCAGGCTTAAAAATTAATTTAACAATATTTACTTTTTACTAATAAAAGGGAGACAATCCTGCAGTGACTTATTCTAAAGTCCCATTTCAAGTCATTTCAATGTAAGTAAGACAGTTCATAGAGTACAAATAACTGTAAACACAGGAGGAACTCTGCAGCCAATCTCATTAAAATATGTAAATTTTGATCATTTTAGAAATGTTTGTTTCATATGTTACCTTTACCCCCATTAGGCCAAACTGTGTTCTTGATTATTTAATTTTAGGTATTGTCATCCTATGTTACAAGTTATGTCAGACACAGGGAGTGTAAAAAGAAATTCAGATTCAGATCGCGGTGGGTACTAGTTTTGATATGATCCATGAGTTACTTTCTTAATGGCATTTGCCAGCTGTTCCTCTCTCCTAATGAATGCTGCCCTGCTCATTACTCAACCTCATCTGCAGCAGATTCTAGGCACGAGTGCTCCCCTAGCTATGAGAGACCTCATAGTATTTAATAAATAATATGTGACCCCCACAAGGACTGACTGGTTGGCTAGCATTTCAGGGTTGTGGAGAGCAGTTGGAACGCTGCAGATCCAGAGGTTATCTTATCTAGGTTAGTTAGTTCTAGCCCTCCAGAACAACCATGCCTCGTCTTGTCAGAACTACCCTGTGACTTATAGATAGAAACATTTTCGAATTTATTAACTTAGCAGACTATTAGCTTCTATGGATCCAAAAGCAAGCATAGCATTAGATAGCATCTTGGGCCTATAGAAAAGCTCCCCCCCATCTTACCGTACCTGCCTCTCTGCTGTCCCCACCAATGTATTTTAAAGTTGCCTTGGTCTATGACCTTCTTGGTTCTGAGAAACTATATAAAAAAACAAAAACAAAACCTTCAAGAAACTCCTATCATGTTGGAACATAGAATTTAGGGTAACCTAAATCTATGTTCCTGGGCCACGGTCACTCAAAATGGTTCCAGAATAAACTATCAAAGGGTTCAAAGTAAAATAATTCCTAAGCCACATTCTCATAGTTTTGATGAGTAAAAAGTATACTATGAATATGTATTTACCAAAATATCCCAGCTCTGGGCACTGTTGGCTTGAATGAAAAGCTGGGTCTACAGACAATCACACAGTTCTTTGGTTGGTTAGTAATAGGCATTCTTATTTCATGGTAAGCAGAGACAATGGGGTAAGCAGACAATGGGGTAAGGACAATGGTAAGGAGACAATGGAGTTTGGGGCTGAAATGATAACTAGGAAGGTTCAGATTTCAAGGTAAAAATAAAGAAGTCAGGAATGAAAGGTAGCGGTGGGGGAAGGAGAAAGCAAACAAAATAAAACAAAGGCAAGCCACGTGGTAGGTGGGTGAGGAGGAAATCATGAATTCAAGTGCATAGAAAATTGCCATTCAAAGAAGCCAAGACACTGCCATGCAGGGCATGACACGTGGTGACAACAGCCAAGGACTCAGGAAGGGCTGGTCCCAGAAGCCAGGCAAGTGAGGGAGATGGGTCAGAGAAACAGGGGTGTGTGAGAAGACTGACCCACCTCATCTGCGTGTGAAACATGGATTTCACTGCCTCATGACTGAAAGACAAAACAGACACCCACAAGGAAATCAATACCATCGGCTGCTCTACTACAGCCCGAAGAGCGCACAGCATTCCGGGCTGATGCAATCAGAGCACTGAAGGTCACAACCAACTCCATCCCTCCCCTGCCAGGATGCTGCCTGGTACAGCGGAGAGCACACTGGTACGGTGGAAACCATTGGTATGGTGGAAAGTGCATTGGAACCGGGTTACAACATGAGGTTATGGGGGGATTCACTGATGAACAACTGACTTCCTTTCCCGTGTCCTCAGTCTTCTACTTAGAATCCAGTAGTGAACACATTTGACAACAGACTGCCAAAAAAATATAGGGATGTTGTTACTGTCCCACTAACAAGCATGATGGATGAACATGCCTCTTTTGGATGACTCTTTTTGGGAGTGTTCTGAATTGCATATTATGTAGAGCTTGCATATTGTTGTGGTTAAAACTGGTCCACTAATACCACATCCAGGGGTATTTCCAGTGTGGTAGGCAGACAGGCAGTGACTGTAATGATCTCCTCTCTTGCACAAAAGCCAACAAACCCAGGGAGCACATGGCCACTCACAATTAGTAGGTGCAAAGAAGCTACAGCAGACACCAGAGATGCCCTGAAGTAGGAGTCCTAGGTTCCTAGATCATTACACAGTGACAAGAGGGACCTTGGGTAACTGGCACTTAGAGCAGGGTCATCTCGAAGCTGTGCCTGGCTAAATATGATTCACTCCACTAACCAGGCTAACCCTGAGCAACATACCCTCGTAGGAAGACTCCACAAAGTCAATTGTGCCCGGAGGCTTAGACAGAGAAATACAACATGCTAGAAAACATTACCCTCAGAGTCCAAAATAAACTTTCCTGATCTTTGTCATCTTTCTCAATGGCTTTAGATGCTGTGGTCAGAAACAGGAAGGAAGGAAGAAATCATGGTCCTGGCTACGTTGTCACTTCAACCTGATTCTCAGCTGAGACCCAGAAATCACTGTCCCTGGCTTCAGGAAGTTTTAGGGAGAAAGCTGCTGACTGATGGCTCAAAGTTGGCTTTCTTCTGTTATAAGACACCATCTTTGTGAGCAAAGGCAATGCATATTGTTCAGGTTTCATCCTCCAAATCTCCCCAGCCTGAGCCACACACAATCAGGCCCCAGGTTATTTATTGATCCCTTTCCTTTTGTGCCCTGCTCCCAAGATCCAAGCGTCTGCCCATGTGTCTTTGATCTGTGCCTTCCTGGGGGCAAAGGGCTGGACAGCGTCACCCAGGTTCCTTTGCTCTTTGGCTTCTGGGTGAGGTTGGCCAAGGGGAGGAGATCACGGTTGGAGTCGTTATCCCCCAATCCCAGCAGTGACTAGCTTCTGTGCAGGCACAGTTGTGAGGAAGTTCAGCCAAAGAAACCTTACCATGGCTCAGACGTTCAATGGCTGCAGCATCTCTGTTGGCCTGCTAAGCCTAGGAATGGTTTTGTTCGCTCAGCACGGAACCCCTCAACAGTCCTTGGCTGATCCTTCCTAAATCCTGCCCATACATCAGTAGATTGTCCTTTTGTTAAATTCTGTTTGAGTAAACTGTTTGAATGTGCTTTCTAATTTCTCATGAGACCTGAGCCAGCATAGAAACCTTCTTGGTGCTTTGACTCTAGGTAAGTAATCCCAGAGTTCAAGTTTTAGAACAGTCGTTAATGATTTATCAAACACATCTAGACAGTCTCAAGGAATTGACCAGTTAGAATCCTTTGACATCCACCTCAGAGACTACCTCTCTTGACAGTTAGTCTGCACTGAGCCCCTGGGATGCTGAACACTGGATATCCATGGTAGGTTGAGTTCAAAAGTTTGTCTTTGGTTGAAGTCAAGTGGAAAACTATGTCCGATCCCCATTGCACAAGTCCAGATAAAGGAGCACTCACTTGCCATTGTTGAATATGACAGTGCAGTTGGGCCAGCAGTCATGGTTCACCAGGCCCAAGTTGGGGAAGATGCCCACGCCCACCGCCTGTAGGCCTCTCTGGTCGCTGAGGGTGAAGCCGTTGCAGTTGATCTACCCAGAGGACAGGAAAAGCATCAGTCAACAGACACATATCCAGTACAAAATATCGCCCTAGCTGCTGAGAGAGCTTGAAAACTAGAGGGCCCTCTGTTTAAACCAAATGAGTCACAAAACAGAACCAAAAATCATGAGTCTGGGAAAGGAGGGATGGGGGAGAGGATGGTAACCTAGATAGGAGGGAACGAATAGGACTGGGGAGAGAGTAATCAGAATATATTATGTGCATGTATGAAGCTGATAAAAAATAAAATTGATCAATTTCTTTTAGAGAGAGCCCTTTCTCATCCTGAAGATGCCTCGAGTCTGCAGTCCCTTTCATGTTTCCTGTGTGACTTCAAATGATCCCCAAGATGAGTGCCATAAGGGGAGTCCCATGTTTACCAAAGTACTACCATTTTGACGCTTCCCATAGTTCTAGCCTACAGACACCACAGATACGAATGTTTGCTCCTGAATTCCACAGGTAGGTCCTTTTCAATATCCATATTGGTTTACTTCTTCAATATCCATGTTGTTTACTTCTCCGTGTGTGTGTGTGTGTGTGTGTGTGTGTGTGTGTGTGTGTGTGTGTGTGTCCAAAGTAACTAAGAGCAAATGCTCTGAGCTACGAGAGGTGGCACACACCTGTATCCCAGCCCTTAGGAGGTGGATACAGGAGGTTTAGGAATTCAAGGCCAACCTAAGCTACATGGCAAGATACCATGATAGATAGATAGACAGACAGACAGATAGATAGAAAAATGAAGTGAGAAAAATATGGTGGGATGAAATGGCATCATCTTAAGTCCCTGTCACTTTCAGACTTCTGGCCTTCTCTCCTGAATCTGGCTGGTTTGCTCCTTAGTTGGATAATACCCAGTGTCACCATGGCCCTTCTATTATAAGAAATCATACTGGAAGAGTCTAGGCTTATTCTAATGTGATCATTTAGGAATCTGCCTCTCTATTCAGAAGCAGAAGGAGAAGTAGGTATTCCTGCTATTCTAGGGACACAAGAGGGCAGACTTCATGTCTTTGTCTGCCTGGGCTAGTGGTCCTTGTCATGAAAATAGAAGCCAAACTCTATGTTCCCAAAGGGAAGAAGGGAAGGAGGAGGAGACAGACACAGAGGAAAGAGCAGGGTTGCTGGAGGGGACACAAGGCCATACCACGCCAAAGATGTGTGAGATATACTGCATGCTGAACTGCTGGCTCTGTGGCGGCCAGTACTGCAAGAATGTGTCCACGTCCGCCCGAAGTTCCTTCTGCTCCTCCTCCCCAAAGTGCTCCACGTGGTTCTGCAAGTCATCCACCGACACCAGACAGCCCTCTGTGAGCCCAGTGCCCTCTCTCTCCACCCGCCACATGATGCGGGCTGCCAGCCTGGGAAAAGAGGGGAGAACAGCATAAGAGAGACCTAGACGCATTCATTCATTCATTCATTCATTCATTCATCTATTCATTTACTCACCTGTTGCACCCTTCCCCCATGGGGGCCTGCTGACCAGCATGTGATTAGGAGCTTCCAGCAAAACACCTCTTGTCCCCTCTACCTCTCCCTGGAATACCCCCATATTTGTTATTAAGGAAAAATCGGGTAAGTAGAAGCTATTACAAGATCTGAGACAGGTTAATAAGACCATGACACTCATGGGTGCCACCCAGCCAGGGTTGCCAACCCCTGTGGCCATCCCTAAAGACTGGCATCTGCTTGTGATCGATTTAAAGAATTGTTTTTTAATATTCCTTTATACCCTGTTGATAGTGTTTTGCTTTCAGTGTTCCATCTTTGAGCTTAAGAGAGCCTTATAAGAGATATCAGTGGGTAGTTTTGCCCCAAGGCATGGCTAACAGCCCTACCATGTGTCAAATTTATGTTTCTCAGGTTATAGAGCCAGTCAGACAAAAATATCCTCAATTATATATAATTCATTATATGGATGATTTACTGTTGGCTGCGCCAAAAGAAAAACTATTACTATCTGCCTTTGGGGGTCTTCAGACCACTTTAGGGTTGGTTGGCTTACAATTAGCACCAGAGAAGGTACAAAAGGAGTTTTCATATCATTATCTAGGACACTGCTTGTTTCATAATGGGGTGCTCCCTCAAAAAGTCAGTCTTCACCTGGACACCCTTCAAATGTTAAATGATTTTCAAAAGATTCTGGGAGATATCAATTGGATCAGACCTAGCTTGAAAATTACTACTGGGCAACTTAAACATCTTTTTGATATATTACAAGGGGATTTGGATCCCAACTCTCCTCGAGTCCTCACTACGGCAGGACAGGAGTGTATTCATTTGATTGAAAAGCCTTAGAAAGGGCTCAATTGGATTATATAGACTATGCCCAGCCTCTAAAATTGTTAGTGTTTTGTTCTGCAAGCTATAGTTGTGCTCCTGTTTAAAGCACAAAAACTGCCTTATAAACCTTTGGTAAGGAACCAGATCAGGTTATTATATCTTTGTCCTGTAAACAAATAGGATGGCTGCAAAATAATAATTGCGATTGGGCCACTTTTGTCTCTGCTACCCAGAGTTATTTTGATAGTCATTTCCCATCCAATAATTTGCTTCCTTTTTTAAAATGCCTCCTTTGATTTTCCCAAAAATCGTAGTCTCTTGGCCTATTTCTAAGGGGTGACTGGTACAGCTGTAGTCGTGTCTTATCCCATCATTAAGACAGCCAGAATTCCTGAAACTTCTGCCCAAATGGCCGAACTTTCAACCCTGACCTTGGCTGTACAACTCTTCCCCACAGAAGCATTAAACATCTATATGAATAGTCAATATGTTGCTTATATTATCCAGCTCTTAGAGACTGCTGCCTATGTTGCTCCCATCTCTAGGATACAAGAGAGTTTATTACAGGTATAAGGTCTGCTATGGCAATGGAGCAAACCTATATTTGTGGGACATCTTAGGGCCCACACCCCTTTGCCCAGGGCCCCTCAGCAAAAGAAGTCACATGGCTGACAGGTATGCTCAAATCGGTGTGGTTTTACAAGGGCTCACTAAAGCACAATCCCTGCACAAGCGCTTTCATCTTAGTGCAGGGTCTTTGCGCTTTCATACTGGGATTACCAAAGAACAGGCTGTTCAAATAGTTAAGGATTGCCCTCTTTGTGTAGAATTTCTTCCTGTGCCTCACTTGGGAGTTAATTTTCAAGGACTTTTGCCCAATCACATTTGGTAAATGGATGTAACACATGTGTCATCCTTTGGTAAATTACAATTTGTCCGTGTTTCCATAGATATCTTTTCCCACCTGATATTCGCCTCTGCCCAGTCTGGTGAAAAAGTAAAAGATGTTAAGAGCCACTGTTTACAGGCTTTTGCTTACGTAGGGGTCCCAAAACAAATTGAGACCGATAATGACCCCGGCTATGTCATCAGAGGTTTCAATCACTTTTGTCTAGATTTTGATATCTCCCCCAAAACTGGAATTCCTTACAACCCCCAAGGGCAGGCTATTGTGGAACATGCTCATCACACCCTAAAAGCCTATTTAGCTAAAGTAAAGAAGGGGGATCTTGGGGGCCACCTTGGCTCCCCTCACTCTACTCTATCATTTATCCTTTATGTCTTAAATTTTTTAATTGTGGATGCTTCTGGTAACTCTGCAGCAGACTGTCATTGGCGGTCCACTGTACAGCAAAAACCTCTAGTTAAATGAAAAGACCTAACCTCGGGTCTTTGGAAAGGACCAGATCTGGTTTTGGTATGGGCCCATGGGTCTGTTCGTGTGTTCCCACAAGATGGTGAGTCCCCAATTTGGGTTCCAGAGCATTGTGTGCACTCTGTTGCTGCTGATACTCATCAGCTGTCAATAGACCCATTAGGCTTTAACGAGGAACCAGCCTGTCCTGATGCCTGCAGGTCTTCGGAGTCAGGTGTATCCAGCTATAAACAGACTCAACCATAGCCTAGGAAAGGCAGCCGTCAGGATTTGCCTGCTTAAACATTTGCCTATATTCAATGACACTCCCTCGGGAGAAATGCTTAATTATTTCCTTCAGGAATGCCACTTGAGAAGCTGTTGGAATGGTGAAATATCAGCCTTGGTGGTCGTGTTCCAGGTGTCATGCCTATTCCAGTGTAACACTCAGGAGAGAACCAACTCATCCTCACACGACACGGGAGTGATTTTGACATCACGGCAGCTGCAGTTTCTGGCTTCCCTATCTCTTAGCCAGTTGCCACGGCAGGCTTGCTAGAAAAATCCCCAGGGGGAGGATGCCTCTACCTTAAGTTCCCAAAATTATATTAATTACAATTGGGCACTTTAAATCTTATCAAATGGCAATTTCATAATTACACGACTTGATTGGCTATTTTAACTGAGACCAGGGTGCCTCCCCTTGGCACCTCCCCCCCCCCTTTTTTTTTGTTTGTTTGTTTTCGAGACAGGGTTTCTCTGTACTGTTTTGGAGGCTGTCCTGGAACTAGCTCTGTAGATCAGGCTGGTCTCGAACTCACAGAGATCTGCTTGCCTCTGCCTGCTGGGTGCTGGGATTAAAGGCGTGTGCCACCAATGCCCCTGGCTTTTGGCACCCCCCCTCTTAACAGGACTGCAGCAGACAGGTCTATTACTTAAGAAACAGAGTGGGTCGCTAGCCTTCGGGATTATGGCCCTGGGCAACACAGTCTTTAGCTCTAGTTTGCCTTTGCCACATGGAAAGGCCACAAGCCCAGCGCCATTTTTATACAAAACAGATCATGCATTCCTTGACAGCAGATAACCCCTCAGTGCAGGCCTGGTTGAGCCAGCTAGACAAATGAGCAATCAATTGACAGGTAAGTCTCTGGGGGACATCTAGTAACCTAAGACAGAGGGTCTGTGAGGCCTGGACAAACTTCTCGATGATGGGACGGGTAAGATAGATGTTAACGTCCCGGGCAACCTAAACCAGATGCTCATTTTTAAATTATATACAAAAGGGGGATTTGTTGCACCCCTCCCCCAAGGAGGTCTGCTGACCAGCTTGTGACTAGGAGCTTCTAGCAAAACACCTCTTGTCCCCTTCTCCCAGTAAGGACTGCATGTAAGTTCCTGTTTTCTGTCCATCCTTATTGTCTAAATGCTAATTCCTCTTATTGGTCCATCCTTTGCGGGAGGGCCCTGGGAACGTAGGCTTCTGACCTTGGTGGTTTTCCACCATGCCTGCTATTGGTGTATAATGCTCTTGTTGAAATAAACGCCATTCTCCTTGTAAGAATGAGCCGCTGTCTTTGTCTTCATTTACATCCTTAGCCCTTCGCTCGGATCTGAAGTGCTGTCGCCCCATAACCTAACCGGTCGCTACACTCACCCATTCAGCAAGCACCAGCGCCTAGTACATGCCGGGCACAGTGTTAGGGACAGACTTCTATCAAGATGCTTCTTGTACCATGCGAGATTTCAGTAAACAAGAGCATTTTCAAGCGGTGCTAAGTGCTATTCAGAAAATAAAAGAGTGGTGTGACAGAGTGGCTGGGAGAGGAAGCTAAGGTCATCAGGGCAGTGAACCAGGAAACACATGGGAGCAGTAACTGGACTGGACAGAGGATCTGGCTCTGGGGACTGAAGGCAGAGCAGACAGAGCAAGAAAGCTTGGTGACAGCAGCATAGAGGACAAGGAGTAGGGACCAAAGGTAGTTGGACAGATGGGCAGAAACCAAGTCACACAGGGCCTGGGACACAAAGACATGCAGCATCCTGGGTCTTAGGCCTAAATCCTGAGAGAGGCAAGGCAAAAATGGGTCAGGAAGTGACCCTAATGGCCTTTGAGTCTAACACAGAGGGGTGTACTTCACCCCAAGGCTTCCTTGTTGACTGTTAGGTGGTACATTCCTACAAAATGAATTCTGTGTCCCAAAGACCCTTAGTGTCACAGTGTCACTTGCTGACTGGGGATTGGTGGTCCAGGCAGACATGCTCTTGCAGGGAGAGATTTCTCCTCCTGCTTGGCACAGTGCAGGCCCTACTTCTTTCTGTTTTGGTAAGAATTATTCTTAGAAAACTGAACTTCTAGCCGGGCGTTGGTGGTGCACGCCTTTAATCCCAGCACTCGGGAGGCAGAGGCAGGTGGATCTCTGTGAGTTCGAGGCCAGCCTGGTCTACAGAGCAAGTTTCAGGACAGCCTCCAAAGCCACAGAGAAACCCTGTCTCGAGAAAAAAAAAGGAAACTGAACTTCTAACCACACGCAGTGGTGGCACATGCCTTTAATCCTAGCATTTGGGAGGCAGAGGCAGGCGAATCTCTGTGAGTTCAAGACCATCCTGGTCTACAAGAGCTTCTTCCAGGACAGGCTCCAAAGCTACAACAACAACAAAAAAATGTGCACTTCTAGGTTATCCAGGTGCCTGAGAATCAAAAGTTTCTACACAGAGTCCAGGGCAGCATGGGGAAAGTAAGGTTCGGGATATGGTGTGGGAAAGATCAGTATCCATGGATATGGCCCCAAGAAGACAGAACAACGGTGACAGATTTCAAGTCAGTAACAGATATGATCGGTGGGAGCTGAGCAGAGGAAAGAGATAGGGAGACTCAGGTCTTGAAGAATATGACTCCGCAGATAGAACAAGTAGTTTGCTGAGGCTGACAGAGTTTCATCCTGTAGATTCCTAAAAGTTTCCAGGGGATGGCCCCGTTCTTGGTTGGCATGCCCCACACACACCCTGCAAATGCTTTTAATTACCAGTGTCCTCACTCATTTTGCTCCTAGGTCAGCCTGCCTTCCTACAGACCTAACCACATCCCAGCACCGACAACTTCCGGCAGGGCCATCAGCACCTGGGAGCTCTCAGCTGGAACTCTCATGCTTGGCTGAGGCTCCTAGCAATGGCTCCATGTGCGGGTGTCTGGGCTGCAAGAAGGCCATTGTACAGTGAGCTCACCAACCTGCAAAACCACCTCTTAAAAGAGACGCATGCTGTTGAGCTGCAGTGCATCCTGTCAGAGCTTCATTTTTATTCTTGTTCTCCAGAGAAGCCAGAAACCCTAATTCTCCACAACATGTAACTTTCCCAATTTCAAAGTTTGGAAGACCACTTTTTTTTTTTTAATTAAACATTGAGGAGCTATGCAGGGGCCTATAGGCCTCTCTAGGAGTCCCAATTTGGAATCACTGCTTTAGACACCCAGTGTCCCTCTCAGACCTGAGGGAGTGAGGGCAATAAAGGACCTGAGACCTTTGCACTCAGTCTGGCATCCTGAGGGCTGGGAATGCTGCTGTCATCTCTGCCATCCCAGCCCGACATTTGGACATCCCGAGCCCTGTCATGGGGACCAGCTCCGACCTGATGTTCTCATTGGGCACCTTCCCGTATCTCTTGATGGCGGAACACTCGTGCTTGTGGTTCAGCCAAGCATCCTTCTGGCACGTGCGGTCGCAGTAGTGGGCGAACTTGCACTGGCCGCAGCGGTGGAGCTTCTCCTGCCTCTTGAAGCAGGTGTGGCACACGACATTAATGAGGCTGAAAGTGGAGACAGGAAAAAAAAAAGCAAGTCACGAAGACGTGCTGGGGCTGGAGACACCGCTCAGCAGCTAAGATCAAGCACTGCCCTTGCACAGGCATTGGGTCCCGAATTTGTGCGGGTGGCTCATTGCAGCCTGTAATGCCGGCTCCAGGAGATCTAATGCCTCTGGTGGCAGAGCCCCACCCCCCACTTTCACAAGCACACACACACATTCACGCCAGTTGTGGTGGTGCATGCTGGCAGCATTTGCTGAAGGAGATGGAGGCAGGAGGACTACAAGTTTGAGGCCAGCCTGGGCAATACACATTCACATAATTAAAAAATAAAAATTAAATAATTTCTAAAAGCAGGGGGTGCTTTTGCCCATATTTTGTTGCAAATAACACGTTACCACAGACTAGGTACGCCATAAAGAAAAGAGACGTAGCCTGACGGAGGGCAATCTTTACCATTTTGAATTTTAGACTTACACTTTTCAAAACGAAGGTCTCATGCTAAATGTCTCTTCTGGATGAAATGAATTCTTTATCAGACATTTTAACCGTGAGCCAAAGTAAATCTGTTTTCTTCTTTTTGTTGTTCAGGCTGGCTTCAAACTCTCCACCCTCACCTCTGTCTTCCGAGTGCTGAGATGCCCCCCAAATAATCCATTTTAGAAGAAGAAAGGCTTACAAAGAGGAAAAATTTTAAGTCATGGCTTCAGAGTTATTGTCCTTGGCTGGTGGTCCCTTGCTTTTAGGCCTGTGTCAAGACAGTAAACCATGACAAGAGTGCGTGGCAGAGGAAGTCACTCACCTCCTGGCAGCTGGGAAGCAATACCCCCTCACAGGCACACTTCCCAATGACTTTGCTTCCTCCCATCAAGCCCCACCTCCTAAAGGACCCACTACTCCCAGCAGTGTCACAGGCTGGGACCATGCCTTCAAAACGTGGGCCTTTTGAGGTGCAATTGAGGTCTAAACTGTAGAATTCTGCTGTGCCCCTTAAAGGCTTATGTCGGTCTCCCAAAGCTTCCAGGCCACCTCTATGATAGGTTCCGACAAATATTGTGTTAAGATATCTCACTGCCAGAGGGCCACTCAGGGCACTTGGTTGTCTACCTGGAAGTATAGGCTTCACATTTATTCCAGCTGTTCTCAGCGTGGCATTCCAAAATTTCAAAGTCATTTTGAACTATCTGGTCATCTTTTATACTGGTATCCTGAGCTTGGAGTGCTCCACAAGTCTGCGAGCCTGAATGGAGTTGGGAAAGAAGAGGGACAAGTGTCCACCTCAGGTTCAGAGACACAGACTTAAGCCAGGGAGGAAAAGGAATGGACTAGGACAGGATCTGAAGAGGGACAGGTTAGACATAGGTGTTGGGGAAGTCCTATGTATATGTCAATAAAACACTGTTGGGCCAATAGGGAACCAAGATAGGTGGGACTAGGAGTCCAGGAGAACTCTGGGAAGGAGAAACACAGAGAGTCAAGATGTAACACCATGGGGTAGGAAGCCCGAAACTATTCTCCGGTAAGAGAAATACTTAGATTAACAATTATGGGGTAAATACTTAAGTCAGAGCTAGCCAGTAAGAAACAAGCAAGGCCAACAGCTTCATAATTAATATAGCCTCCTGTGTGTTTATTTGGGACTGATGGGGCTCTAGAACCAGGCTGGCGGGAAGGCTTCTCTCAAGAAAAAGGCTTCCCTTTACACATAGGCACAATAATGCTGTCTGTCACTTGTAACCCCACATATCTCTGTTCAGAGGTCCCTTAGGACTGCTCTGATAGCTCACTTCCAACTTGATATTTTAGAACATTCTAACAGCATCTCCTCATATTTTTATTCATATATACATATTTGTATTTCATTCTTCAAAAATTTACCTATATTGTGTACTAAACAAAAAATTATGGAACACAGTTCTCATCAATTTCTGTGCTTCAAATGTTAAATACTAGGGGCTGTGGGTATAACTCAATAGCAGTACACACACTTTAATTTTTTTCAGTAAAATTTAAGGGTTGGTGAGAAGCTCGGATGATGCAGGAAGGCACTTGCTACTAAGCCCGATAATCCGAGTTCCATCCCTTGGTTCCAGATGGTCAAAGGAGAGTACCTGTTCTGACTGCCTGTCCCCTTTCCTTCATACCTCTGGCATGTGAGACTTTGTCAAAAGCAAAACCAAACCAAACCTGGAATGCTCCCTTGGAAGCTACAAGTGTTACAGCCCCATTTTCTCATTGTTACAGTGGCTGTTCATTTCTTATCCACTTAAAATACTGGAGGATGGAGTATCACAGGGATTGGCATTATGCTCTGTGACCAGAGGCAGCTTGAGCAGTTTGGCACCCTCAGAAGTGACTCTTAAATTGACTCATGTAGACGAGGCAACATTGTGTTAGTAGATAACTGTCCACCTGAGTCTGTCAAACTAACTTCCAGGAAAAAAAATTGACGTTTTCAAGGATAAGTAATATTTAAAGGTGACCATTGAAATTCAAGCAACAGCAGTTACTTGGACATATGCTATTACTGGCCAAGGGACAGCATATACTATTGTTGACATTATTTAGAATCACTGCCGTGGGGCTGGAGAGATGGCTCAGCCGTTAAAGGCTAGGCTCACAGCCAAAACTATAAGAATCACTGCAGTGTGGCGATTTTTAAAAGGGGTTACTTTTATTTTATCATTTTTATTTGTTTTGCTTTGCTTTTTAAGAAATTGTATGTAGTGTGTGTGTGTGTGTGTGTGTTTGTGTGTGTGTGTGTGTGTGTGTCCCCACATGCACACCTCTGTGTGAGTATGTGCACTAGAATTCATGTGTGCCATGGCATCAAATCAGCTGCAGGCATTTGTGAGCCACCTGATGTGGGTGCTAGAAACTGAACTTAGGTCCTCTGCAAAAGTGGTACACACTCTTAACTGCTGAGCCACCTCTCCACCTCGTGTTTTGTTTTTTGGCAGGGTCTCAGAGTCCAAGCTAACCTACACAGGTGATCTTGAATTTCTGACCCACTACAACGTGCTTTTTACTTCTGTACTTGTTGCCTGTACCAAGGATGAACGGGATGTCCTGACCTGCACTTCTCTGGTCCACTTCACCTCTGGCTTACTGGGACAAGGTTTCCCACAGTGACACAGAAGGAAGGAGCGTGCCTTAACTGGCATTGTCTCTAGGTGTCTATGAACTGACTTAATATTCTTTGAATAGAGCACAATTATAAAACGATCTGCTTGCCATGAACTGTCACTATATTAGATCCCTAGAAATAAGATCCAGCTACCGGGCCCAAGCATCTTCAGAGTCACTTTTATCAGAAGAAAGCTGTGAGTAGATCCCTGAAGTCCCTACAGTAAAATCTTCACCCGTGGCTGAGAAACAGGAAAACTCACTAAGCCGTGAAACAAGATCCCTACCAACTCAAGAATATTTCCTAATCCTGCTGGTTAGTATTAACTGTCAATCTGACACAATGTAGATTCGCCTGGAAGTGAGTCTCAATGAGGAATTGACTAGATAAGGTTGGCCTGTGGAGAAGTCTGTGGAGGACATCTTGATAATTAATTGATGTAAGGACACATAACCATTGTATACGATACCATCCCTTGGGGACTGGGGGTTCCAAACATTACAAAAGTGAAGCCAGTTAGCTGAAAGCAAACAAGGATGTGTTTACCTTCTTTGCACTTGACTGTGATGGGACTGAATTCCTGCCTTGATTTTTTTTCCTGAAATGATGGGCTGGGACCTGTAATTTTTAAGCCATATAAACCCTTCTTCCTCCATGTTATTTTTTAATCATAGCAACAGAAATGAAGCTAGGATACTGTTAAGTTTCAAACCAGGGACAAATGGCTGAAGTGACTAGCATATCAAAGCGGACCTGACCTCCAGGTTTTTCCAGCATCCCTCAGCCCCTAACTGTTACAGGGTATGGCTAGCCTGTCCTCCCTCTACCCTGAACTCTCAAGCCCGAGGACTGCCTTTCTCCCAGAGGCTCTTCCTTATATAATCCAGACCTTTTGATTACCTGTAACATGTAGTTTTCCTCTGCCAGCCACTTTGGTTTTCCCCCGCCAGCTGCTTGGGCTCTGCCACAGTTGCAGTCCCCAAATAACATACAGGAGGCTATATTAATTATGAAGCTGTTGGCCATTTGCTTGTTTCTTACTGACTATCTCTGACTTAAGTATTTAACCCATCTAAGTATTTCTCTTACCGGAGAAAGGGTCTGGACCTCTTACTTCTATGGCGGCTAAATGATACCTCTCTGTGTTTCTCTTTTCCAGAATCCTCCTCGACTCCTAGTCCCACCTATCTTGCTTCCCTATTTGCCAACAGTGCTTTATTGACATATACACAGGACTTCCCCATCAGTTACCCATCCCTTTTATGTACTGTCGACCTCCAGGCTGCTTGCTGCATTTGGTTCCCTGTCTCCTCTTCCCCAGTCTCCCAGATGTGCCTGTCTCTGCTCAGACTCTTTTATCTATAATAAACTTTTTTCTTCACCATGCCTAGGGACAGCTATGGTCCTTTCCTTTCCTATTTGTTTGCTTGCTTGTTTGTTTCCATTCATCTGGTGCCAAAACCAGAAGAATGGCTTAAATGAGTTCCCTCCCCAAGGAACTCGGCTGCTCTGAACCAAGTGGCTGATCTGACTCTCCTAAGGTATGTACAGATCATTTGCTTCTGCTGGCTTTTGCCACCATCAAATTTCATCTAGAGTCTGTTTCTTCAGCCACTTCTTCCCTCCACCTTAACTATCCATCCATCTCTCCTTACCTATTAGGTAAGCGTCTTCTCTCCCTACTCTGATCTTTTGGGCTGCCCACAACATGGACATCTCCTTGCTATACCCTTTTGGGCCACCCACCAGGTGGGCACCCATCACACAGGCATCTCCCTGCCAGGCCCTTCAGGGACCCTCCACACGGGCAATTCTACTTACTAAGACCCTTGCGCCTCTCCAGCTGTTTTCTGCTCTAGCAACTCGTCTCTCTTTT